CAGAGAAGAACCATCCTTCCCGTACCATCTGGCCATTCAATTTTGATCGAGAAAACCACTCATCGTTTGATCTTAGATCCGACATCTTAAAGTATTTTATTTTTAGTTTTTTTATACAAATTGTATGAATATGAAATTTGGTATGTGCCATCTTCTCATTGGGGTGCACCTATAAAAATATTTAAAAGAATTTTTTGATAAAATATAATGACCAAAATACCCTTAAAAACTTTCAAGGGTATTTTGGTTATTTTATTTTATTGAAAATATTTTTTTTATATTTTTCACTTTTACGAGTTTAATAGAGGATTTGACGTCCAAAATTTGGCATCAAAATAGTTTATAAAAAAAAAATTAAAAATAAAATAGTGTAGAGACGTGACATTGTGATTGGGGCAATCTTTACCCTCCATTCTGAATGGACGGTTGGATAAGGGGAAGTATATAAGTTTTATGCTATAGGAGAAGCATAGAAAGCGGGCCCTATTGGTAAATGGGTCTTCTTTGACCAGGCCAATGCCTGAACTAAATTCACCTTGTTGATTAATGCATCTTCTTTGACGAGGCCAATATTTTTTAACGGTTAATGGTAACATGAAAGGATAGTTTCCATGAGTCCATATAGAAATAAGTCCCATCTTAAAAATCTACTTTTGAGATGGATTTTTTACCCAATTTATAGGGACATATAATCTGTAACATGGAGATAATGAATATAAAAAATAAATTTTAAAAATAAAAAATATTTCTATTAAAAAAATATTTGGACCATTAGATTCAACTATTTTTAGATGAACCATCTATTCGTCCATTTTTAAAATGGATTTTTTATACTTTGAGGGATGCAAATGTAGAAATGCATCCCCAGACGTGAAACAATTTTTTTAAACAAAAAATAGATCTTAGAATATTGTGTGCTGTAAAATTTGATGTCATCCCCATCCATTACCGTTTTAAGGAGAAAATCAAATTGTAATTACAAGTAGATGGCAACCCCATCTTTTGCGATGGAGAAATAGTCTTGTAATTTGATTCATTCAAAAAAAAACTATTTACGATTTGGTCATTGAATTTTAGGTTATGATATTACACCATTGCCCTTAAATTAATGGGATTGTAAACGGTGAGATTATTTCCTTTTGGTACAAGGATGCTGATGTAAAATATGAAAGCTTGAGTGTATTACAAAGTTCAAAGAATTTTCTTTTAAATTTTGAACTTGGTCAATAGAATAAATGTGGCCACCTAATTTTTATGACCACCTTATATTAAAGATAAATTATCTTATTGTATACTTGAAAAAAAGCTTCGACGATGATGATGACATAAAAAATTTTATTAAAAAAATTGGTGAACTAGAAATAATATCTTTCTATATTTTATCTCTCATTACACAACTCCTTCGAAACTCTTTTCTATCCTTTTTTTTAGATCATATGGGGATATATCTTTATACTATTTTTCATTTGTCTTCCCTTTCCATTGTATCTTCCTATCTTCTCTCTCTCATCACACAACTCTTCCTAATCTCCCTCACATGTTTTCTTGGATCGTTGGAAGGTATATATAGGTCCTCCTAATTTTTGTGTGTGCATATATGTCCTTGTAGGCCTCCTATTTCTTTCTCTCTCATTTGCCTTAATTTAATTTTTAGAATACGTGCCCTAAATTCTCTCTAAGGATAGGATCTCCTTCCTCACATCCTCTGTATGCATAGGTTTGTTCTTTTTTTCTTTTTCTTTTTTTTCCTTTTTTTTTTTTTTTTTTTTTTTTGATATGCCATAGCTTAATAATGTAGTATAGATATAGATATAATATGTTGTTAGGTTCATATGAGAATAATCCTTGAAATTGTTTTTTAATATGAAATTACACATGTCTGTACTTTTAAATGTGTAAATATTTATTCAAAGTAAAAAATATTTACCATAAATGGCCCTTTTCATACGAAAAGAACTCTCTACCTCATGAGCAGGGGAAAAAATTACATAGCATTAGTTTTCCCATTGGATGTGAATTAAACTATCTCAAAATTTAAGTTTTAGTGAGAGAAACTATCTCAAAAATTTATCAAAATAAACTATCCCAATTTTCAAGTTTTAGAGAGAGAAACTATCTCAAACTTTTCGAAAGAGAAACTATATCAAATTTCAAGTTTTAGAAAAAGCACTATCTCAAAAATTTTAAAGAAAAAAAAACTATCTCAAAGTTTTTAGAGAGGAAAGCTATCTCAAATTTCAAATTTTTATAGTGAAATTATCCCAAAAAAATTTAAGAGACAAACTATATCAAAGTTTAATATTTAGAGAGAGAAATTATTCTAGAACTTTTAGAGGGAGAAACTATATCAAATATTTAAAGAGAGAAACTATTTTTAAATTGTTAGAGAGAAAAACTCTCAAAGTCTCTAGAGAGATGCTATTTGGAATTTCAAAATTTTAAAAATAAACTGGCAAAAATTTTAGAGAGAAAAATTATTTCAAAATTTTTAGAGAGAAACTATCTCAAAATTTTTAGAGAGAGAAACTATCTCAAAATTTTAGAGGGCGAAACTATATCGTATTTCCAGTTTGAGAGAGAAATTATCACAAAATTTTTAGAGAGAGAAACTATCTTAAAAAACTAAAATGAGGAACTACCTCAAGATTTTTAGATAGAGAAATTATCTCAAATTTCAAACTTTATTTCAAACTTTTTAGAGAGAAAAACTATCTTAAAACTTTTAGAAATAAATTTAATTTATACATGGGGATATTTTGATCCTAAAAAGATTGTTTTCTTATATTAAAGGTGGATGCAAAAATAAATAGTCTTGGTATTAGTGGTGTGGTTTAAAACGGAAAGAAAAATGCCTAGGAAGTATAATCCTTGGGTATCTATAATTGTCCCTTCTTTTTTTCTCCTTATAACTTATGTCAAATATGATTAATTGATTATATTATGATGAGCAATGATCCCCTTTCTTTTTTTCTCCTTATAACTTATGTCAAATATGATTAATTGATTATATTATGATGAGCAATGATCCAATGCAACGGTTGTATCATAGTATGTTACAACGACACTTCTAAAAAACCATGTTTGTGGTATTTGTTTGACCCCAAATTTTGTACACACACTCTCTTCATCTCAATGATCAATCCCCAAAAAAAAAAAAATTCTTCAATTTGAATCTTAGATATAGTCAAAATGAGTCCCCTCAAAAAACGAATCTAGACCATTCATTTTGTGAATTTCAAGATCTTAACTTTTATAAATTCAAAATAATTTTTTCCTTTTTTAACATTGTTCATCTAATGATAATAAAGCCATCTAAAAAAATTGGAAATGAAAAAGAACACCCTCTTAAGGCCTAGATCTAAGCATCTAACTAAAATGAACAGCATATGTTAATAGGGCTAAAAAAATACTTCTAAGTCGTGTTTTCAATTTTTTTTTTTTTGTGATTGTTCATTAAAATGAAAAGAATATATATTTTAAATTTGGATCAAACAAATAGCCATAAGATGGTTTTTTAAAGCTATTGCATCATATTACTATACAACGGTTGCATGAAAGCATTGCCATGACAACAATATTTCTAAACATCCCCACAATCTTTTAATAAATGCTTGTCTTTTTTTTTTTTTCTTTTTTACCCGTGTTCCCTCTCTACTGGTTTCCAAGGGCAACTACCAAAAATGGGAATTCTTTCCCTATAGATTGATTGCATATATAAATATTCATATATAAATATTTTTATGTAAATATTTTCTTGTCAAACTATTTTACATGAACAAAACGACCCCTACAGTTGATGCCATATATAAACTTTTTCCATTGCAAAAAACACACCTAATTTCAACAGTTAACAAATGGGCAAGCTTTCTATGCTTCCCCTATAGCATAGAAGTTATATCATCCCCCTTATCCAACCGTCCATTTTGAATAGAGGGCTAAGATTGCCTCAATCACAATGTCAAGTCTCTACACTATTTTATTTTTAATTTTTTTTTATTAACTATTTTGATACCAAATTCTCGGACGTTCATTTCTCTATTAAACTCGCACTGGAGAAAAATATAAAAAAATATTTTCAATAAAATAAAATGACCAAAATTCCCCTGAACGTTTCAAGGGATATTTTGGTTATTATATTTTATCAAAAAATTATTTTAAATATTTTGTATAGGTGCGACTCAATAAGAAGATAGCACGTACCACATTTCATATTCATACAATTTGTATAAAAAAAACTAAAAATAAAATAATTTGAGACATCGAATCTAAGATCAAACGGTGAGTGGCACTCTTCATCAAAATCAAAGAGCTGTATGGTAAAAGGAAGATAGAACTTTTATGTTGTAGGTAAAACATAGAAACCTTGCCTTTAGATGGTACTTCGAAATTGAATAAAAAAGCATGTCCAATATATAAAAGGAAAAGTTTATATAAGGTTGCAACCTTAAAATGTAGAATCATCGATGCACCTCAAAAATCTATCGAAAATGTTGTTTTAATGTTGAAAAAACCCTCTAATCGATCATCTCAACATGGAGATGTATGAATATGAAAAAAACGATCTCAACATGGAGATGTATGAATATGAAAAAAAAAAAAATTTGAATCCTGGAAATAATGCATCTTGCAACACATTTTCTAGACCACCATTTTCTAATTAGGTATGAAAATAGATTTTAAGATAATAAAATTTTAAGGTGCGCCTGAATTGGATTGTTGGATTTTAAGGTTGTAACCTTATAAAAACAGCACCCATATATAAATAGCTGATCTCTCATGTACATTTTGATAAATTGTTGAATTCCTGAAAAAGAATTAGCACAGACCATCTTCAAAAATTAGGTTTGATTTTTATGAGGAGCACACTTCAAACCTTCGATCCTTGAATCTCATATAATGCCAGTTTCACACCACCAGACCAAAGGTCACAAGTCCTTCCACAGATGATGTCCTCTTGAGTTGTGTATACAAAAGAGGGAGAGAGAGAGAGAGAGGGTTGATTGAACCATATCTCATCCATCACTTTACCGTTCTTGCAGTTAACCAGGTTTGAGTGTGGTGGTTTCGCAGTCGGTCTCAGCTGTAGCCTCCTCCTCGCTGACCCAATCCTCTAGACTAATTTCACGAGATCATGGGGTGAGACCCATAAGAGACTTTCCCACTACCCTGAGCTTTCAAGGCCTTACTTTCCTTACGACACGAAAACACAGGCTACCATCACTCCCACCCACGACAACCCTTCCACTGTCACGACCGTTTTCAGGATTGCAGAGATGACCAATTTTCTCAAGGATTTGAAGAATGAGAAGCATTTCATGTCCCTAATGTCTCTTTGTTTCGACATTGCCCGAGAAAGAATCAAAAGCAAAACTACAAGCTACACTTTGATAGTGTTTGATCAATCAACTGTGCAATACATGAACAACTGTATGGAAGAAAATGGACATGAAATGGATTTGTATGGTCTGATTGATGCAAATTGGGAGGACATAAATCAACGAGACTGTCATTTGGGGAGAAAATAGCCCAATTCAAGTTTCGCATCTGACCCAGCCTTGTGTCGGAGATGGATTAGTACTAATCATGCAATCTCTTGATGATGGAACACCAAGTAAATTTGTAAGCGCGACACTCCCTACTCCTTGAAAAGTTGAATAATGCCAGAGTGACATGAGATCATTCTCCTTTTCTATAACTCTGAACCATTGTACTAGTATGAAAATTCCAGAACCCACATTAGATTAATGATGATGAAGCTAGTTTTGAAAAGAGTTATTCTGGAATTTGTGTGTGAGAGAGAGAGAGAGAGAGAGAGAGAGAGAGAGAGAGGAGAGAAGAGAGAGAGAGAGAGAGAGAAGGAGAGAAGAGAGAGAGAGAGAGAGAGAGAGAGAGAGAGAGAGAGACTACTCTGCACTGAGTTTCCATTGTTTCCATTATTATTGCCAGGTTGCAGACTGGTACAGTAATTATTCTTTTCATGTCTTGCGGTTACCATGAAGTTACCCCTGGTTGGAAGATGTAATTGTTTCTTACAAGCTACTTCTTCTAGCAACCGCAGCAGGTTTGAAGCTCGCTATTCCTGTAATTTCTCTTCCTGTCACCAAACTATTGATTTCATATGTGCCTTCATATGAGAAAATAGGCTCCAGATCACAGAAAGCCTGCACCAAATACAATTATTGCTTCATCATTATTAACCTTAAAAGTATTGGAATAGCCCGAAACCTATTACAAATTATTTATATACATGAAAGAGTGCAGGGTATAAATGTCATAAAGAAAGAAAAGTTAACATATGAACTACCAAATGAAAAAGAAAGCCGACAAATGCAGCATACCATGCACTGGAGGCAGTACCATCTGTAATCAGCATTTAGGTTATGGACTTGAATACTATTAAGCTAATATAAATCCCAGTGTTTGTGGATGTCTGCCATCTGGAAATAACCAGACATCCAAACTAGGGAAGATTTCTTTGGCTAAGTAGGAATATTTTCTCGACCATGACATTTACATAAAAATGCAGCACTAAACATGCAAATTCTACAGAAGAACATTAAGTTCCATGTACAGGTAAATGTGGGCATATTCAAGGATATGCCTCACTGCCTTGTCTTTTCGACTTAAATGATCACTGGCCTCTGAAAGAAATTTCAGGATGCTCCAAAGTAGAACTGAGAAGCAATCAAACACTACAAATACCAACCTCGCATTCCTGTCAGTCCTAACCACCAATCATGCCTAAAAAAGGCTAGTTGTTTTAGGAAGTCTAAGTAAGCCATGAAATGACACAACAATCAATCAAAAACAAGTAGCGTCTACGTGCTCAGGGTTCAGAACTTAAAAACTCATGTTACCCAGGAAAGGCCTAAGAACTTGCCATTCAGAAAACTCAAGTGTAACTGGTTTTCTTGCTTTGTTAAGAGAATGTTCAAACATCTTCAATGGTGCACACTGTTTCTTATTCATGTAGCAAGGCATCCCAACTGTGATAACAATGGTCAATCTTGGTTGTGTCTGTAGTTTAGCCTTCACAGACAGCCTATGTAAGCAGACTTTCAGAATAGTTGAGGAGGTGTTTTTCAGGGTCCATTGCTCAGGAAGGCTCAAGAATAAACCTAGGGGTTTAGTATGTTATTAACACATCAAAGAGGTAATGCAGTAAGAATGCTTCATTTGAGTGCACTGACTACAAGAAAATGTAACCAAAGACTTAGATGAACCACCGTTTACGATTAGAGAAAATCTGATGGTTTTGAACAATGTTATGAAGACTGTAGTAGACAATAGAATTTAAGTCATACCAAAGTGTGACAATGCTTCTATTAAAGTAAGCTAATGCACTTTTTTATCCCAATAATTCCTAATCAGGGAATAATTCTGGTACTACGACATCTTAAACATAATACTGCCACATAAGGAATTAGAGCAAAGCAAGTTATGCTCAAGAGTGTCTACGCAAGCCAGGATGCCATATATTGCCCCAAAGCTACCTCCCATGGTGTAATTTCAACATCATTTTTCTAAAAGGCTATGAATGAACATCATCAATTGGTTTACCAATAAAAAGGGTCAAATTTTTCTAAAATTCATCTATATTTTACGGGATGCAAATAGCATCCCCCAAATTTCAATTTTTATGCTGATGTCCCACTTTTTGAGAGTGTGTCTTGTACTTTAATTTTATTTTTTTAGTTTTTTTCTAGACATCAGGTTGTGCTTAAAGTTTGGGTGTTCATACTTGTCACCATCACGCACCTGTAAAATATACAAAAAATAATTAAAAATAAAATAATTTGAAATACAAAAAATATCAAACTAACCAAAATACCCCTGAATTGTAGGGATATTTTGGTCATTTTATTTGTATTGAATAACTTCTTTGGTACCTTTTTTTACAGATGCATGAAGGTGACAACTCTGGACACCCAAAATTTTAGCTTAATCTGATGCATAGAAGACTACTAAAATTAAAATACAAGACTCCCTCTCAATAAGTGGGACATGAGCATAAAATATGAAATATCAAAGAAACTTTCTAAATTCCTCAAAATATAGGGGATGTTTACGAAATTTTCCCCACCAAAAAAACAAGATTAATATAATCCTACAATGCAGAGCTAGCCCAAATTCAAAGAAAAAACCTCCTTTAAACTTCTTCTAGAAAACCAGGCACGAATATAGAGGACATTCACTCATCAGAGAAGCATATCAGAGAAAACATACAAATTTTTAATGCACCACTAGTGTAGAATCTCATATCATATAAAGCTCCAATTTACTTCAGAAATTAATAAAGTACAAGAAATACATCACTTAGAACACAAAGAATAATACCTTGGCCACCAGAAAATCAGCTACAATTCCATTACCACCAAGTAGTTCCCGTGCAAGAGAAACAGTCTCTCTAGCCTTCAAGGAAGTCCAAGCCTGCAATGATCAACAAAGGGTCATTTTTTTCCATGTAGAATACAAAAAGGTGCGTTGGTTACGCATAAAACTTTACCTTGCCTAAGCTAGCATGACCAGGAGTCATCTTTTCAGTTTCATACAGCTTGCATAAACGCCAACCAACAAGAAACATTCCTTGAATGTTACCCAACATACGAACAAGCTTTTCTTGATTAATCTGAAAAGATGCCAATGGTACTCCAAACTGTTTCCTCTCTTGCAAATATCTGGATTATTTTCCAAATAAAAAGAATTCACCAGTAAAAAGGGCACATATAAAACAATATAAAATAGTTAATACAATTACTGCATGATGGGCCTTCCTTACCTATGACACATATCATATACACCCATTGCTATCCCAATAGGTTGCCATGCAACCATCACACGTGAAACGGCAAGCACCTGCCATAAAATATTGCCAGTTTATGGCACATCAAACAGAGGAATCAAAAAACTGGATACCAGAAATTTCAGAACAAACTGCATTTCAAGTAAGGGGTCTCATGCTTACGCATTTAAGGCTCATAGAACAACTGACATACGCAGTTAGGCAATCCCAATTACCTTGTGTCATTTTTGAATGCCATGTTCATGAGAAACAAATATCTCACCTATCTCACAAGCTATAACAAAATCTGTTCTTATACGAAGCATGTGATGGAACATGGTACAGTCGAAATTTCACTTTGAATAGCAATATAATTAGGACAGCAGACTAAATCTCTTTGGAGTGTGAAACAAAAAAAGACAAATGAGGCTAGATATGTTTAGTATATGACTATATGCATTATTGGTAAATTTTATTTTATCAAAATGAATTATTGTCATTGTGTTCATGTATGGTAGTTTCATAATCTTAAGTGGTCTAGATAAGAATTTTATAATTAACATCATGGAGAATTAATTGAAGCCCATTAACCAACCATGCAACAAATGATTTTTTTTAGTTGAGAATTTGAGATTGCGACAAAGTCACCATCCAAGACTTGAGGCCACACCCTAATGATATCGAGCTCTGTCTCAACCATGTCTCATTTTATATTTCACCCAGAAGAGTATGGCAATAGGGACTTGGATGGATGTCCCGAAGCTTCTAGGGTTTCCAAGTCATTCAAGTTTTAACCTCAATGATCTGACCTCTAATCGGTAGTCTAGAAGTCCTCCTGAACACTGAACACTGAACAAGTTTGGTACTTATAATACGCAGTAAGTCATTGCACCACTATGCAAGTTACTAATGAATTCAGCAGAAAATACCGTGTAACTGTTGATAGACATGGAGAATAGCAGAAGCTTCAATTAGTTTGAGACTGACATCCATGATGTGGAATTCATATGAAACTGAATGAACCAGAAACCAGAACAAATGGCTCCATTTCAAATGGACATTTATCGACACTTGCAACTATAATCCACAGAGAAACCAATCATATTGGTCTCAATTCTCAAAAAGGTTCGAATGCTAGAGTATCACCTCAAACAAGGCCACAGATGAACTAACCTAACTTCCATGAGGCCATTGTAATCTCCCAACTAGGGTTTCGGCCACCCCAAGTGGCACTGTTAAAAGGCTATAGAACAGGCCCTCTGAGGACCTCATGAACTTACTCCTAGCTCTATTTTGATGAAATAATGAAGAACATGCAGTACATAAGATTGCTTCTTCTTCTTCTTCTTTTTTCTGGTGAAATTTATCAAAATATACCCAGAAGAGAAACTATTCAGTATTTGTTTACCCATTTGCAACTATTTCAACCCATAATCATGTATCTTTTGATGGGTATTGAAATTATATCAGAAGACATGGGTACAAGGTTAAATAGTTCATCTCTCATGATATTTGGATAAATTTCCATTTTTTAAAGAATTCACCAGTATCTGAAAATGACAAGCATAAGATCAGCAAGACCTAAATAACAACTATGCCTCTATTATACCTTGCTTGTATCTTTAAAAGAATTGACTCCAGGCAACCAGTCCTCATCTGGAACAAAGACCTTCTGCAAAAGGATGTCACCATTCTGAACAATCCTCAGGCCAATTTTGTTTTCAATCTTAGATACCTTTAGTCCAGCTGTCCCTTTCTTTACAATATATCTGAGAAAACCCAGAAATTAGCAGAACTATTAATAGAATTCCCCATGATCAAAAGGCTCAAGCTCCAAGCCTCATTTTCAGACAAATTGAAAAGTATAACATGCAACAAACGGCCATGACACTTTTTTCTTAAAAAATTAAAGAAAAAGGAAAAAAAGACAAAACTCAGTGATGTGCATTTTAATGCCCATAATATACTTCATAGTAAGATTTTATTTTATTTTTGAGAATGGTTCATAGTAAGAAATTTAGCAACAGAAAGCATCCTTCTCCTCTCCCATACATATATCGCACAAACATACAGGTCAGAGGATTGCACTCTACAATAAAAATAAATAAGGAAGTTCAACTCACCCATTGATCTGGTTAGTGCTCATGTTTCTAGCAAAGACAACCAAGACATCTGCAAATGTGCTGTTCCCTATCCAGCGTTTCTGACCATCAAGCAGCCAACCACCAGGTACCTGATTATCCCAATGTCAAACAAAACAGGATACATTAAAAAGACCAGTACCTTAATCCACAAACCAAGTGCAAGAGACTAGACAAATGAATCTTATGGGATAAACATGTCACTTAGCATCTTTGGGAAACAAACAATGTAAAATACAAAAAGCCATTTTCTCATAGAAAATTATGTATGTCAGTTGTTACAGGTAACGAAGGTTGAGAGAGGGTACCTTTGTTGCTGTTGTCGATAAGGAACTAGCATCACTTCCATAATCAGGCTCAGTTAAAGCCTGTAGAAAGTAGAAAAATAGAAGTCATCGCCTTTGAATGTTGTATAGATTATGAAAAATAACAAAGCTTTTGCACGTGTCACATCAGTAAGCACTTTCCGTACCCAGCAGGCAATTGTATCAAAACGAGCCAATGAGGGTAAATATTTATGCTTTTGATCCTCAGAACCACATAGAGCTACATTTGAAAATTGACCAACCTCAAGTTAATCTCACTATAAGCACATATTTCATTCACAAGTGTGTGGATACATATACAAAATAAAAGAAGTAAAGCATTTGCTGGAGTGTACCAATTGTTAGCATGGCCAAGGAGGAATGAACCAGAATAAATGTAGAACAGCTTGCATCAACCCTAGCAACTTCAGCTATAGCAAGAGCACTTGCAGTAATGGAGAGCCCTGGACACCCATAACCCTGATCATTCAAACAGTAAAATTGTCAATAACTGAATCTGAGAAATTCATAATGTGAGACTGATGGAAGAAAATCTCAGTACCTTAATCGTACCACCAGCGATACGGAGTGCAGCAAGCTTGGGTACAAGATGAAATGGGAACTCTGCTTTCTCCCAAAACTGGTAACAAAATATCGCACATGAATGATCCCATCCTATATGATGTTTGACTCGGGAAAATCACACTAAAGAAACTTGATCCCTCAATTCGTAATGAATTTGCAAAATAAGATTCACACAATTGTCTGCATGAACAACTGGATATGAAGAGAAGCAACACGAAATATTCAAAAAAAAAAGGAAAAAACTTTACCTTTACCATCTCTGGTGCTATTTCCTTTTCAACAAGCTTTCTCACATATCTTCGGATGGTTCTTTCTTCAGGAGTCAATAAATCATCAAACTGATAATAGTCTGAGACTGCAAGAATGAAATGAGAGATCAATAGAAGGCATCCCATACAGCACACAGTTTTTTATTTTAAAAAGCATAGGCTAATCTCTAGTATCAGTAGAGATGAAATGTTCCTAAATGCAGAGCAACAATTCATTTCCACCCATCATTGAGACAAACCACAGAGATAAGTAGACTAAATGCATTATATACATGGTGCACGTATCATCATCATCATCATTTTAGCCTTTTCCCAATTAATTGGAGTCGGCTACATGAATCCGGATTCTTCATTCTGCTCTATTAAAGGTCATATCCTCAATAAGGTCATAAGTCACCACATCTTTTCAAACTACTTACAACCACGTCCTTTTGAGCCTACCCCTTGCCCTTTTCAATCCTTCCACTTGAACTAACTCGCAACTCCTAACAGGTGTTGTACTTGGTCGGCGCCACGCATGGCCAGCCCACCTAAGTCTAATCTCTCTCATTTTATTGCCTATTGGTGCAACGCCTAAATTCTCCCGAATACATTCATTTTGAATTCTATCATTTCTTGTCTTGCCACTCATCCATTTCAATATCTTTATCTCCACTACACTCATTCTATGGGTATATAGTTTTTTGTACACCCAACATTCCGCCCCATAGAGCAAAATTGATCTCATAGCTATCCTATAGAACTTACCCTTCAGCCTCATTGGTATGCGGCAATCACACAAAATTCCAATTGTACATCTCCACTTCGCCCACCCAGCACTAATTCTATGTGCGACATCGTCCTCGATCACTCCATTTTCCTGGATTATCGATCAAAAGTGCGGTCCTTTTTGTACTTCCTGACCGTCAATCTTAACTACTTCCTCTTCTTTACTCCTATTATTACTAAACTTGCACTCCATATACTCTATCTGAGTCCGACTAATTTTAAAACCTTTGGATTCTAGAGCATCCCTCCAAACTTCGAACTTTGTGTTGACGTCGTATTGGGTCTTGTCAATCAAAACTATGTAATCTGCGAACAACATGCACCACATTACCTTATCCCGTAGGTGCCCAGTTAAGTCGTCCATAACTAAGACAAAGCGGTACGAGCTCAATGCTGACCCTTGATGTAGACCTATTGTTACTGAAAACTCTCTTGTCTCTCCACTAGCTGTTCGTACACTAGTTAATGCTCCATCGTACATATCTCTCACCAAGTTGATGTAATGTCTAGAGACGCCTTTCTTTTCCAACACCT